CGTGGAAAATTTTGATAGAAATATGTTTCGTAAAAAATTCCGACGAATACGTTTTTTTGTGAAATATTTTGACAAAATTTATATTCCGTAAAAAAATTCGACAAAAAAAATTTCCGTCAAAAATTTGTACAGATATGTTTTTAGTCGCAAATTTGATAGAAATATTTTTCGTCAAAAATTTTTGCAGAAAATTTTAAGGGAAATGTTTTCCGTAAAAACAATGTGAAACAATTTCTATAAGAATCATTTCGTCGTGAGAGTTCCAAAATTTGATGGAAATGCTCTCTTTTTAAAAAAAAAACCGGTTTTAATTTTTATAATCGGTTTGTGGTTCATAACCGATTTGGATTTAAAACCGGTTTTGAATTAAAACCGGTTTTAAATCAAAACCGGTTGTGAACCATAAAAAAAGTGGTTTTGAAACCGGTTTGGACAAATTAAAAATCGATTTTTTTTTTAAAAAATGGTTCGGTTTAAAATCCAAATTGTTTAAAACTGATTTGGTTTGATTTTTGACAATAACCTAACCGAACCGCTCTATGCACATCCCTAGATCTGCCCATAGTAAGTCGGTAAGTAAGTAACACATTCACTTACCAACCAACCACGAGCTTGTTTAGATTCTTATTTTCTTAGAATAAAATAAGCACTTATTTTTAAAAATAATAAGTATTATTTTAATTATTTTACGTGCATTTATATTCAATCTTTAAAAAAATTAAAAGTTAAAAGTAAAATTCAATAAAAATTTGACTTTAAGCTTAGTCGAGTCCATAATTAAGAAAAAAGGGCGAGAATCACCCACTTGTTAGAATAAGTTAATCAACATGTAATAATAGAGATTCAATTTAAGTATTGCATACCACTTAATAATCCTAATTGGTTATCATTTTTCATAACCAACATGTCCTTTCGTTTAGGGTTGAGCAGATTTTTAAAGGAGGTGTAATAATTTTCTTTCCCATCAATTATTCAAAAAAGTTGGTCTATGTTTAATTTATATCACGAGATAGATTTTTAATATATCTACATCAATTATACAAGTCAGTAGTCACCTTCTTGAGACAAATAGGTAAATGTTATAGAAGATCCATTTGCATAATGGAAGAGGTACTACAGTCAAATTATTTAACCTCATTATAGCTTAAATATCATCATATGATTGACCCAATACTTCATTAATGTCCCTTGCCAATAAAAATATACTTCACTTATGTATTTGAAAAGAATAATGTGAAATGATATTGAGAATGCAGAATAAAAAAAAGTATTGTACATTTCCAATCAAAGTCCATCTCTTTGGATCACCTAATTTGTCGGATTTCATATTTAAATTGATCTTTTCTTTAATTATTCCTAATTTGATGTTGCCTTTAATTACTTCTAATTTTATAAATGATATTTTCATTGGTGTCGATTTCTGAGAAATTCACTAAGTTCACCTTCACAATTATTATTTAAGGTACGCACCTTCACATTAATTTCATTTTACTAAGTCGCTCAGTATCAAAAATAGCATAGGCTTTCTTCTAATAAAAAATAGTAAGAAAAAAAAATCAGAATATTCTGATTTTTCAGTTGATTTAAAAAATAAATTAATAAAAATATAAAAATTAATCTATCAATAATTTTTTTTTTAAAATATAAACATCAAAAATTTATTTAATCCTTATTCGGTCATATCTTCAAGTCCAAATAAACTTGTGCATGAGAAGTGATGGTATAAGTTTGGATAAAACAGAAAACTGTTTGGTAGCAAGACTTATTGCAGTTTGGATGGGTTTTTTTTCTTCAAAAATTGTTTTTTTAAGAAAAAAAAAATACTTCTCATTTTAAATTTATTTGGATGTCTGCTTTAAAAAAAATAGAAGTAAAGTTCACCAAAAAAACTAAAAAATTAAAAGTAACAAAAAAGCCAAAAACCTCCTTTATTGGAAGCTAAAAATTTTAGTTTCTAAAAAAAACAGAAGTCAAAAGTTAAATATATTTTTTAAAAAATAAATATTTTTTTTAAAATCTAAATAACATTAACTTTTTGTAAAAGAATACTTCTAAAATGAGTAAGGCATAAAAGTTGCTTTTTTTAAAAGGCCAAACAAACGGACTTTAAAAAAAGCATTTCTCACTATAAGTTCGTTTGGATATCTGTTTTAACAAAAACATAAGTCACAAAAAAGTCAAAAATCTATTTTTTTAAGCTAATAATTTTAGCTTTTAAAAAAGGGTTTTATAAGAGTTATGTTGTAGGAAAAGTGATTGTGTAATGTTATAGAGATTCGTTTTGCGTGCTGTAATTTCTTTTTTTTCTTTTTTCTTCAAAAAGTGTGGGCCCCACAAAATGTTGGGTGTGTAGGAAAGTTTGTTGTGTCATGTTAAATGACAAATGAAAACCCCTTTAAAAAATCATAAGTCAAAAACTAAATATTTTTATAAAAATATAAATAGCTTTAATTTTTGTAAAAAATATTTCTACGATAAGAAAGAGATAAAAGCTGTTTTTTCTAAAAGTAAAAGCTACTTTAAAACTAAAGTTAAAAATATGAGCTTAAAAAATAAAATAAAAGTTGTTTGATGATTATATAAAATTTGTAGCTTAAAAGTTAAATGCTTAAACCTCTTTCAAGATAAGTTGATAAAAACTTAAAAAAAAAAACTCATTCTAGGAGCTTTTAGCTTTTTTCTTCATTATAAAAAAAGCTCTTTTTATTACAAGAGTTTTTGTAAAAAATTTGTTCGGCGTAGCTCTACTTATAAGGAAAAAAGAGGATTCAAACAAGCACTAAATTGATGAACACGATCGAACGAAGAACACAGATCAAATCCAAAAGAAGAATGAATAAGGACGGGTTAGGGTTCTAGTTCGCTACAAAATTTAATCGAACCGGTTTTGTTGAAACCATTTGGTTCAAGAATCAGTTTTAAGGAGTGCATGACAACCATATGAGAATCAATTTTTTTTCATTTCTGTTCCTGGGAACAGAAACCGATAGAAACAGCGTTTGGTAAAACCGGTTTATTTTTTGATCCCTAAATGAATCGGTTTAATTTTTGTGCTTGGGAATAAAAATAAAAGAAACAAAGAATTTTTGCTTCTCCATTTTAGGGCACAAAAAGAGAATTAATTTTTTTTTTTTCTTTTTTTTTTTCATTCAGCACTCTCAACCTTTCTAGAAACTCAAATCTCTTCCGCTTTCATCTTCTTCCATCGACCAACAACTCTCATTGTGTAACATCCTCTATTTTAACTATAATAGAGAATATCACATTATGTATAAATAATAAATAAATAAATAAAATATATAGTAGTATAAACCTTTTAAATATTGATTTGTACCACAAATTTTACTTAGTTACTTTATACATGATTCACATCGAAAAGCTCTTTTTTTATATATGGGGTTTACATTTCGGCAGCTGCTGTATATGCAGCAATCAAATAAATGTATAGATATAACACAATAAATTAATGTTAAAATAAAATGACATAGTGTGTGTGTGTATATATATATATATACTTATTATTTTTTATTTTTTTATTTTTTATTATTATTATTATTATCTTTTATTTGAATTTTACACATTGTCTTTCTCCTCCAACAACCACCGACCTCTGTAACCACCATAGAAGCCATCCATCACCTGCCATCTTCATCAGCAAACCACATATCCACCATCGTGGCCAACTAAATCACTACCGACAAACCTCATTCTTGTTCGCATATCAGTGTTCCACCTTTTATTGAAACTTCAAATATCATATTCTCCGCCACAAACCTCCATGGCTACCACCAATTTCGTCCGACCAAATCCCACCAAAACCACAACCCTTCACTCAGTAGCATCCACCACCGCTAAATCTACAGGACACTCCCCACTGACCCACAAGCAAGTCTCTTACAACAAACCCAGCCATCTCCCCTTTCCTTCTGCCAAAGTCATCACCGTTCACCACCTTCCTCCATCATCTCGGTTGTATTGTGTTATAAAACGTTTCTGATTCTCATAATACAAAATAAAAAATGTATTAACAAACATAAATCTGATTCTCAGAATAAAAATAAAATGTGTTAACAAAAATAATTCTGATTCTCAGAACTCTTCCAAGACACAGAATAAAAAAAATTGTTTCTTCTCATAATCGATACTTAAAAATAGAATGATTATCATACATATCTTAAAAGAAAACTTTGTTTTATTTTATTTATTTATTTTATTTTTTTGTTTATTTTACACACCCTAGACTAGAAGCTAAAAAAATTTGGATCCTCTTATTTTTAAGCTAGAAGCTACTTATAAGCTAAAGCTAAAAAAAGAGCTTAAAAAAAGAAGCTAAAAGCTGTTTGGAAATTACATAACATTTTTAGCTTAAAAATTACTTAAAAAGCACATATTTCAAGAAAATTATCTCTCTCTCTATCTTTATCACTCTTCATTTAAAAAGAAAGCACACAATTCAAGAAAAACAGATAAGAACTTAAAAAAAAGCTCCTAGGAGAAGCTTTTAGTTTTCAGCTTTTTTCTTCATTATAAAAAAAGAACTTTTCGTTATAAAAGCTTTTTCCAAAACCTGTTTGACCTAATTTATACTTATAAGTACTTTCTAATTAAAAAAAAAAAAAAATCCAAACATGCACTGAACTTCTGTTTTACACTCCAATTTTGATGGCCTTTTATCCCAAGCCCTTTCATTTTAACGCAAACAATCCCAACACCCACCCACAGCAAAAAATAAATAAAAAATAAAATGAAACTGATTAGTGATTGGTATTATTTATTTGAGATTAGTGTTTGTGTTTTTAAAGATATAAAATTAAGTTATTTTAATGAAAATTACAGTATTTTATATTAAGAGAAAAAATTACATGGTGAGAGAAAGTGAGTTTTCTTTTTTAATTTAAATATTAAATAAAAATAATTATTTTAATTAAAACGAACGTATTTCAAAAGCACAAGTATTTTTTTCTATTTAATTTTATTGGTATTCTCTTGGGTGATAATACTAATAGGAGGAGAAAACACGATCCTCTTGTTGGGATGGCACGTCGAAAATAAAGATGAAGGGATAAGGTCGATTGAAGTTGAATTGGAACTATAACAGTATGAAGCCATGAAATTGAAAACAGTTCCATCATCTTGTTCGTTTGCAGTTGCATTGATTTCCCACTCTGATTCCAATCACAATTCTACTCATACTCATGCCCACAGTATCATAGTCGCCAAAAGCAAGAAGCAGCATCACACTCAGGTTTCTTCCTTCCCCTCCCTTCCCCTAACCCATATGTTATTTTATTCATATATTATTCACCTTTCATCACTAGGGTTCCCAACCAACTCCTCCAAGAATTACATCAAATGTGAAGCAAAACCTCCAATTCCTGAAGCTATGGAAGGTACCTCACTTTCCTCCTTCATCTACATCTACATCTACATATGTAACTCATAATTAAGTTAAACCTAACCCCATGGTCATTTCTATTAGGATTTCCAAAAACGAAACTCTAGCACTCCTAGGCCTTCAACCAGATACCGCAAAAAGAAGGTGGAAAAGGATGATGTTGTAGATGACCACACCGACCTGTATCGTGATCCCACCACCTCCCTCTACTAGTAAGTATTTCCAACTTCACCTTTTTCCATGCTCCTTTCTTTCCTAAAATATTTCCTGCAGTACACACCAACAGGGTATAATAGACAATGCGGTCCCCGTGTTGCTTGTTGATGGCTATAATGTCTGTGGCTATTGGATGAAGCTCAAGAAACATTTTATGAATGGGAGACTTGATATTGCTCGCCAAAAGCTTATTGATGAGCTTGTAACCTTTAGTGTGCTTAGAGGTTTCTACTCTCTTGTCTACTAATCATTCTCTGCATGCCTTTCTTCAACTCACTCCGTCAATTCTTTTTTTTATCATCTCATGTCGCAATTAAATTTGTTTTCTGTTCTCAGTGTTGATTCATTATTTGTCCACTTGTACAGAGGTGAAAGTGGTTGCTGTATTTGATGCAATGATGTCGGGACTCCCCACTCACAAGGAAGATTTTGCTGGGTACTCTTTTGGAGCCTAACATATAGTTACATCTTTGGCTACTACTTTTTCATTTATCGTGTAGTCAATTTAGTTGCCAAGGACCATTTCTCTTTACCTTAATAATATTTTGTAATAAACACGCATACGAGTTTCTCTTGAAATTAAATTGGCTGAGTCCTATCACTCTTACAGCTAGGTTAGCTGTTGCATACTGCAAATTAATTTATTGAACAAGTCTAGTTGCTTGATAATGACAATCGATTGTGTGTTATAAGGAGGTGTAAAGATATTCTTTTGAACTATCACCTCCCTTTAACTGTGATGAAATATTTGTCTTCTAACTTTTTAATTTCTTCTAAGTTCCAATCTTGTAGTTTGGCCATTTTGCAGGGTTGACATCATTTTCTCAGCCGAAACTTGTGCTGATACATGGATTGAAAAAGAGGTTAGATATAACTACAGGTTGATAGTTTCTAAGTGCAGTTTTACTATGAACAAATATCATGGTTTTATGGAGTGTTTCCTTTTGTAACTGGATTTAGGAATGTGAATTTTACTGCTCTTTGACATACTATATCTATGATTACTGTGGTGGGATTTTGTTGTTTAAGTTTTCTGTTGATCCTGTTTCAGATATACTAGCATCTCCTGCTCCACTTGCTTTTAAATGTGAAATTCAAATCGTGACTAATGTATCATCATCTGAAGTCCCATAACGGAAGAAAATATTATTTTCTACACACATGGGTCTTGAATTATAATCATGTGAAGCATGTAAATTTACAGTGTTTTAATAAGAGAATCAATGATCCTCTGCATAAATCATTTATAGTATGCAGCTTCACTTTTACTTTCATTAAGCGAATCTTCTGGCATTGAAATGGACACTATCAACAGAGAAGTGCTTCACCTTATGAATACTGTACATCTTTAATTTCCTAATATTCTTTGAATGGAACTTAACAGAAAATTTCTTTGCTCGTTTTAGGTTGCAGCTTTAAAAGAGGATGGATGCCCCAAAGTCTGGGTTGTCTCTTCTGATCACTGTCACCAGCATGCAGCACATGGAGCAGTATGTATCCTTCCCATAAATTGAAAATAAAAATAAAAATCACTCTCCATTAAACTCCAACTAGTGAGGGTAGGGGTGAGGGCAATCCTTGTACACAGCCTTACCCTTGCATATTTGCAAAAAAACTGTTTCCTATATTCAAACTCATTGAGTAAAATAGAAGCAGCTTGATTATTAATTTTCGTCACATGACAATTCTTTTCCAGTTATGAATATTGCACTCTTCTTATTAAACTATGCAAACTATTTAATTTCTGTACAAATAAAAATAATTCTCTGATCTTAACATGATTTCCTTTTCATTCTTTAAATGCTGAGACATACCATGTAGATAAATGGGAATTAATTCTAATTCCCACATGATGAAAAAAAGTAAAATGTTTGGTGAAAAATCAATATACTTCTAATGTCGAATCGGGATCAACTAGGACAGAAATAAAGCATTGGGTCAAATGGTGGATATGCAAGCATGATAACTTATATGTTGTTCTATATCTCCATGAATCTAGGAACTTTTGCTGTACTCAATGTGTCCGAGCCTGCCCCACAGATGTATTAGAAATAATTGAATCCTGTTTTTCCCATTCTTTTCATATCCGTAATAGTGTGTGTTAGAATATTAGATATGATATGATTAGATATGATTAGATATGATTGGATTCCGTCTTATCCGTAAATATTCTGACTGTATTCTGACTGTATTAGGATTAGGTTTGGGCCTTTCACTTAAGCCCATTAGGGTCTCTATATATTGTAACTCTCTGACACAGATCAATACACAACATATTATTTTATATTCAAGTTGGTACCAGAGCTCTTTCGTTCTGGGAACCCTCGCTTCCGCTTAGAAACCTTGTTTTTTGCTTTAAAACCTAAGCCCACTGCTTAGGAGTCCTCTTTCTTGCCGTGCGTCCTTCCGGCAAGCCTTCTAGGGCTGTAAACAGCCTCTGAGTGATTTTTCCAAACGCATCAGCACCTCCGACGGCCACCGGAACCACCGTCCGCCGTCAGAATCACTGTTCAGGCAACCAGAGACTTTTTCCGGCGACTTTTCCGACCAAACTTCACGCGATCAGGACCCTCTCTTCCCGGCGACCAGGTCTGTGGTGGTCCGGTCAGCAACGCATCTCCCACGCGCCGTCAGGCGCCACCTGTCTTCTCTGCGCGTGGGCTTCACGCGCCACCTTCTGCCGGCGCGTGAGCACTATTCCGGCGGCTTTTTCCGGCCGGTCTTGGACAGAGAAGCTCGCCTTCTCCTCTCCTTTCTGGATCTATGATTGTTTCTCTGTGGGTCTGACCTTAGACGCGTGGTTCTTCTTGATTGGATATCGTTTGCCTTCGTTTACGGCTTTTATATTTTATCTTTAAATGGCAGCAGCATCTCCTGATCTCTCGGAGGTTAACTCTCCTTCTATTGTTGCAAATATAGCTCAGTCAGACAATGCATCATTTGGTTCAGGTTCGGACTATGCTGCACTCCAAACCCCTCTCAGGAAGGCTTCTCCTCAGTCTCAGCCTTATACTGGTAATCCCGTTGCTTTTGTTTCTCATTCTACATCACTTGGCACTTGGATATTTGACTCCGGTGCTACCGATCATCTCTGTGGTAATAAGGAACTCTTTACATCTCTTACTTATTCTGATCATTTACCGTCTTTTACCCTTGCGGATGGAACCAAAGCCCCAGTTCGTGGGATTGGACAAGCTTGTCCGACCTCTACCTTGGCCCTGACATCTGTCTATTACATTCCTGGCATCCCTTATAACTTAATTTCTATTAGTAAGTTGATCCACTCCCTCACTTGCACCATTACTTTCTCTAACCATTCTGTTTCTGTGCAGGATCCGGGTACGGGGAAAATGATTGGAGTGGGTCGTGAGTCACGAGGGCTTTATTATCTGGATGTGCCTCGTCCTTCAGTAGCATGCTCTCTCACAGAATCTCCACAACTTATCCACAGTCGCCTTGGTCATCCAAGTCTTTCAAAGTTGCAGAAAATGGTTCCTCTTTTGTCCGGTCTTCAGTCTTTAGATTGTGTGTCATGTCAACAAGGGAAGCATACACGCTCCTCTTTTGCCAGTCGAGTCAATAAACGAGTTGATGCCTCTTTCTCTCTTGTTCATTCAGATATCTGGGGTCCAAGTCGTACCTTGTCTGTCTTAGGTTTTCGGTATTTCGTTACCTTTATTGATGATTTTTCCCGTTGCACTTGGACCTATTTAATGAAAAATCGTTCCGAGTTATTTTCCATTTATAAAAAGTTTTCTACTGAGATCCATACTCAATTTGGTGTTTCTATTCGTATTCTACGTAGTGATAATGCTAAGGAATATGTTTCTATTGATTTTTCTAATTTCTTGGCCACACAAGGTACTTTACATCAAACTACTTGTCCTCACACTCCACAACAAAATGGGGTGGCTGAACGTAAAAACAGACATCTCATTGAAACTGCCCGTACCCTTCTTATTCATATGCAGGTTCCCCTTCACTTCTGGGCAGATGCTGTACTCATCTCTTGTTTTCTCATCAATCGCATGCCTTCATCTGTGCTCCACAATGACATTCCTCATAATCTATTGCTTCCAGATGTTCCTCTTTATCCTCTAACTCCACATGTCTTTGGTTGTACTTGTTTTGTTCATGATCTTACTCCTGGTAAGGATAAGTTAACATCCAAAGCCTTTCAGTGTATCTTTCTTGGTTATTCTCGTCTTCAAAAGGGTTATCGTTGTTATTCTCCCGACCTTAAGCGTTACTTAGTTTCCGCTGATGTCACTTTTCTTGATCAACAACCCTTTAATTCTATCCCATCTCAGATGTCACAGGTTGATCATGTACTTCCTGTCCCTTTTCTTGACTTGTCTTTGCCAGCTGCAGGTGCTTCTATTCCAGATGAGCAACCTATTGCTTCTATACCTGAGGACCGTCCACTTCTCACCTATCAGCGTCGCAAAACTGTGCCTCCTGTCGACTCGACTCTTGCTGACTCATCGCCCACTGCTGTTGCTTCTTCCCCTCCGGATCCTTCATCAGAGACTCTTCCCATTGCTCGAAGAAAAGGTACACGTACTACTCGTAACCCTTATCCTCTTTATACCTTTTTGAGTTATGACCGTCTTTCTTCACCTCATTTCACCTTTGTTTCTAGTCTTTCTTCTATTTCTATTCCTAAGACCACAGGTGAAGCACTTTCCCATCCAGGGTGGCGCCAAGCAATGCTTGATGAGATGACTGCACTTCATTCCAATGGCACTTGGGACCTTGTTTTTGTTCCTCCAGAGAAGTCTATAGTTGGTTGTCGCTGGGTTTTTACTGTGAAAGTTGGACCTGATGGCCATATTGATCGTCTCAAGGCACGTTTAGTTGCCAAGGGTTTTACTCAAATCTTTGGCCTTGATTATAGCGATACATTTTCTCCGGTCGCTAAGATGGCGTCAGTCCGCCTCTTTCTTGCCCTTGCTGCTGTTCGTCACTGGCCACTCCTTCAACTTGACATCAAAAATGTCTTTCTTCATGGTGATTTACAAGAAGAAGTTTACATGGAGCAACCACCTGGTTTTGTTGCTCAGGGGGAGTCTGGAAAGGTGTGTCGTCTTCGGAAATCCTTATATGGTCTCAAGCAGTTTCCTCGAGCATGGTTCAGTCGCTTCAGTTCTGCTGTTCAGGCGTTTGGCTTAATCCGCAGTAAAGTTGACCATTCTGTGTTTTATAGGATTACATCTCCTGATAAGTGTATCTATTTGTTAGTCTATGTTGACGACATCGTTCTCACCGGAAGTGATCAAGACGGAATTCGTCAGTTAAAACAGCATTTGTTTAGTACATTTCAAACAAAGGACCTTGGGAAGCTGCGTTACTTCTTGGGAATTGTGGTGGCGCAATCCAGACAGGGCATTTCTATCTGTCAAAGGAAATATGCCTTGGATATCCTAGAAGAAACTGGTATGTTGGGGAGTAAACCAGTTGATACACCTATGGATCCTAATGTCAAGTTATTTCCCGGACAGGGGGAGCCGTTATCTGATCCTGGACGTTATCGGAGGCTAATTGGGAAGCTCAACTATCTTACTGTGACTAGGCCAGATATTTCTTTCGCTGTTAGTACGGCTAGTCAGTTTCTTGATTCCCCTTGTGATTCACATTGGGATGCTGCTGTGAGGATCCTCCGATACATCAAAGGAGCACCAGGAAAAGGTTTGTTGTATTCAGATCAGGGAAATACAGAAATGTGTGGTTATTCAGATGCTGATTGGGCAGGATCACCCTCGGACAGGCGCTCTACTTCTGGCTATTGTGTCTTCTTTGGAGGAAACTTAATTTCGTGGAAGAGCAAGAAACAACCTGTTGTTGCTCGATCTAGTGCAGAAGCTGAGTATCGTGCAATGGCAAATGCTACCTGTGAGTTAGTCTGGTTAAAGCAGTTGATTCAGGAGCTTCGTCTTTGTGAACAGAAACAACCCATGACACTCATCTGTGATAATCAAGCTGCGCTACATATATCCTCTAATCCTGTCTTTCATGAGAGGACCAAACATATAGAGATTGATTGTCACTTCATTCGAGAAAAGATTCAGTCAGGAGAAATCAAGACTGCTTTCGTCAACTCCTCTGATCAACTAGCGGATGTTTTAACTAAAGCTCTTAGAGGTCCTCGGGTTGAATACATTTGTAACAAGGTTGGTGCTCATAATATATACGCACCAGCTTGAGGGGGAGTGTTAGAATATTAGATATGATATGATTAGATATAATTAGATATGATTAGATATGATTAGATATGATTGGATTCCGTCTTATCCGTAAATATTCTGACTGTATTAGGATTAGGTTTGGGCCTTTCACTTAAGCCCATTAGGGTCTCTATATATTGTAACTCTCTGACACAGATCAATACACAACATATTATTTTATATTCAAGTGTGTGAAAAGAAACTTTTCAACTATTTAAATATTATTTAATGGACGAAAACGAGAAAATGTATAAGCCCGGGAAATTGAGCGGCGTTGGGGACAAAGAAATTGTTGGAGTTGCCTTTTTTTTTTATCCAGTACCAACATACTTGATATTCCACCCAATTATCAAGTAACATAATCTATATTGTGCTCTGTTTTTTGGTCCAAGAGATTTATACTTTCACATATTTTCAGGGAGCCTTCGTTTGGAGTTGCAAGGCATTGGTTACTGAGGTAAAACATTAATTTGAGGCAGGATATTAATCATAAAATGAAGACATTCAATAATGAGTGATACTCTTTGTCTGTGAGTTTAAAAGATCTTTTGAGTTTCTGTTTGTTTTCCTCTTACCAAATGGTCTATTTTAAAATGTTTAGTTTAATTTGCACATTTAAGTCCCAGGTTTTCTGATGGAGTATTAGATTTAATAGTTTACTCAATATTAAATTATGTAATACTCTTTGTTTGTGAATTGTGAGTTCAAAAGATCTCTTTGGTTTCTGTTTGTTTTCCTCTTACCAAATGGTCTATTTTGAAATGTTTAGTTTAATTTGCACATTCAAGTCCCAGGTTTTCTGATGGAATATTAGATTTAATAGTTTATATAATATTAAATTACAATGCCTTGCAATTAAAGAGGTTCATAAATCAAAATCTTTGATCAGTTTGACAAGCCTCTGGATGATTTTTATGTCCTTCAATGATGTTTGACATAGTATTTTTTATTAATTGTTTGCGTATTAGATCAAGGCGTCACAAAAAGAGGTTGAAAGGATGCTTCAAGAGCAAAGGTGTGCCCTGTCTGCAATAACTTAAAACTAATTATTTTTCTATCTGAATACGGTTTTGTGATATGTCCTTTATGATTTGTATATGGATTACCTGTGCAACTTGAGATGTAATATTCTCTAAGGCACTTCTAATTTCTAAACCAGTATAGTTTATTGTGATCTTTTGTTACGGACACAAATCTCCTTAATGAACGTCTAGTTTTCTGGGTTTATATATATATGCTTGCACATTGATAAGCCTTCTGCAGAAAAGTTAGACTGCAATGAGGAGGAAAATAAAACATTATTTGATGGGATCATGAAAGGATAACTTCGCGCAATCTCACCCACCGACCACCAGTTCGCTAAACTGTCCCCGGTTTTTTAAAATCTAATATAGAAATAAATTTAGAAGAGACCTTTAAAGTCTGAATATTTTGCACTGTTGAAATACAACACATGACTTTTATGCACTTCAATCAACTTATCTATTGTGCAATTAACTTCTATTGGTGTTGTGAATACAAACCACTCTATTACAACGACAGATCTAGCGGATTGGTTTGCTTATTCATGTTACTGTGTACAGATCCACATCTTTTCAAGGTAGATTATTGAAGCACAATCTTGATGCTGAAGTAGTGGATGCTCTGAAGAATCTGAGGCAAAAGCTATCTGAAAATGAGTTGAAGTAGAGTATCAGTTTAAAATTCTAGTCAGAGACTTTAGTTTGACAGGTGAATTGTCTACATAAGTTTTTATCGTTTATCAGGTGCTAGATGCTTTAATTTTTTGGCATGTGGGCATTTATTATTTATAACAGTGACGCTGGAGCCTTTCCCATTTTGGTTGGATTATTTCTTGACATAATGACAAAAATTAAACCAATGAAAATAACATTGGCTGTGTCAACCAGAATCGTGATATTGTATTCATTCATTCGATCTAACATCAAGACAATATTTTTTTGAACTATAATGTCTAAGTAATCTGCAAAGTATATGGGCAACGGCGTATCTGTACAAAGACTGTTAGATTGATTTTTCTCGGGACAAAAATGCAAAACCACTGTGCTTTAGAACAAATGTATTACTTGTTCTTCTTTTTCTGTGCGATTTGGAGGAAAGAATGCTACTGAGCAGAGGAGCAAAACTGGTTTAGTATTAGTGTATGTATTCTGTTGTTTTTATTGTCCTTGAATTAGCTTATAAGCAATTCATTATCTGTTTCATGAGACATTTATATATTGAAATTCATTAAATATTTTGATTCACCCTCCATTATCCATTTGATTTTTTTTATGTATTTCTTAACTTGCATATCATATCAGCCTCTCTGCAAAAAGCAGGGGAAAGACTGCCTAGAGTATTCCCTTCTCCAGACACTCACGAAGTGGGTATTTGAACTGGGTCGGCCCTCTTTTTCTTAACTTGCATCTTATATAATTTTATTTCTAGCATGACAAAACTGGAGCATATGGTTTTGGGTTTGGTGACATGGATATTACTGCAATCACAACATGTATGTAGTGGGGGTGTGTCTCTGACTTATTTTATTTCTTTCTCTTTCCCAGTGCATTGTTGCAATCAACGCAGTAGAATTTAGTTAGTGGTAACAGTTGATAATAAGGTGCTAATCAGATTATGGGATCAAATCAAGCTTCAACTATTTTTGTCCCCTAGAAAAAAAGTCAAAGCTTCTGTTTTACTCACATAAAGGAAACCCGTGGTTTTCTTACGAGAGATCATTATGAGCACGCTGTTTTACTTAAAAATCAAACAAATGGTTCTCTTCCCATATTAACATGACCAATAACTAACTCCCAGTTATGGGCTACGAGAACCTCATTTATACAATGATGGCTCCATTAGCATAAATATTAGATCCACTTGTTTGATTAAATTCATGGTTTCTTGGGAATTTGTTTTGCAGACCAAAAACTTCAGAAATCATCTAGACATTGCGAAGGACGTGCTTGATAGCCAACAATTCAGTGCTCATCTTGAAATTCCGTACAAACCCAAAAATGACAACTAACCCAGTTAACACCTATTCACGACCATTTGTTTTTCTGCATGTTGAATAGCTCCACTTTGTGATTTACTTTAATTTGTGTAAAGTAAGAGAACCAGTGTACTTAAGTGTAATACAATATTTTTTTTTGTTTCTCTTATATCTATGTATAATGAGTTTGCATTTTTCTCGTAATTTTTTGATTATAAATAAATGAAGAAGTGCCTCCTCATTGTATTAACCTAGGTTTTTTACTTAACGGTTAGGTGGAATCATATGATTCATTGATAATGTAAATTTATACGTTAATCAATATTAAATGTTATATCCATATAAATTATTTCCTATATTCGTGTGTGTGTGTAATGTACGTGGAATATTTGACAGTAGATACAAATGATACAATGGTTTATTAGTATCTATGGGTTAAATTCATGCTTCAACTCTCAAAATCTAATTTTCTTTAAATTTTGCATTTCATTCATTCGGTAAGAAGGAATCTTTTCAATCACATTTGATGGTTAATTTTGGCTCGCTCGCATGCGTGCTAAATCTGAACTCAGGGTTGACCGGGACAGGGGGTACCCACGGCCACGGACAATGGCACTCGTGTACTACACTTGTAAGTAACGAAACCATTTAATATAAATTGAAGGCCAACGGTGTATAATGAGTACAACATCAACTACTGGTCGTCTGACCGATACCCCACCATCGTATCCATATCCTTTTATTTTTATTGCATATAAGTTTTGGGGAGAGTTCTATTTATAATTTTTTTTTTATAGAATTTATACTATGTACTAGGGATAGTACACTATGTACAGGAATATATTACCTCTAATAGATTGTGTAGTTTATAAGAGTTTGTAAATATAATTATGCTCAATTATTATTCCGGCAAAAGTTAGTCTAAAATTGATTTGCATAACAATAAAGTTATTAAGAGACAGAATTTATTCCAAACTACAGCATTGGATTTCCACAACGGCAGCCAATCATAGAGTAACTGCATTTGTCAACATATAAACAAATTTAGTTTTTTTCTTTCCCCCTGATTTTTAATTCTCTCTCATTACATGAAAAGCGAATGCCATTTGTATGTTCTGAAAGGCACATAAATCATTACAATGTTATATCGAATCATAATTAGATAGACCTATCAGTAGTTCATTACCCGAGAACAAATAGATGAAATCCCTGAAACTTTGAAAGAAATAGTTACAGCATTTGCATGCCTCTCTAATTTGACTTTGTAACTATGCTTGGCTAGTTCAATTGGCAAATTGGCAAATAAGATTTCACGAATGGAATGACTAATTAAGCTCTCTGTCGGTTTTGTAATGCATTGAACAACCGGATTGCTATTTTGGGTGATAAAGAGTTGAAAAAACAGAAGGAGCAGAAGCATTGACTAGTTATGTCTAAGCTTGCAAAGTAATCACGGGATGCTTGCCTGCATATTTAATGTGGTCCTTCAAGAGGTACAAATTCTGGAAGCAAGTGAGAGACTTGCAGAAAAAAAAAAAAAAAAAAAGTTAGTACTTTATGCTTTTTGGGTTCAAGCAGACCAACCAACAAGAAGTTAGTTCCAAAGTCTTTTTAACGCTAAAGAATAATAAATACAGAGTCAGAGGGTCAAATTTTGGTCAGGTTTAGGATCAGATGGTCAAATGCTTGACTGGTCACTGCCATGATTTGGATCCAATGAAATGACCCATTTAATGGGATGGATCCAACGGTTTGATGGTGGACCCTCCAATGTTTTTGTGCATTTCATGTCAAGTTTCCTTCCCGTGGCTTCGTACATTTATTATTCTCAACTGCGAATTTCTTATCTCAAACCCCATCATCCAATCACACTTCTCAATATCAAAATGCAGTTTTTTCTGCAATTAATAGCGAGGCAAATTTCTATTGCCAACCAAATGGTGGTAGCTTAGTTAGCGCATGGGAGCTAAACAGGTGGGGGTGAGAGCATGTGTTCGAATCTCCTCAATACCACTTTAGGGAGGGATTTAAAACCTTAATCCTAGACCCGCCCCGAATCGGATTAGTTGCGAAGTAATGAACCGATTGAAATATATATTTCCAAAAAAAAAAAATTTCTATTGCCAAACTGAGTGAACCTGTTCATCTGCTTCATATTACAGTTAGGCACATGACAAAAACTGCCACATTCTACATTTGATATAGCACTAGACATTAGTGTTTTTGGTTTTTGTATCTGACAGGTCTTAGTATGTGACTAGTGGGATAACATGAAACTCGTGTGGGCTATCTTCAGAGCAGAAGACAGGGATTATTAGATCTTCTGTCGCATATTTCAGTGCCATTATGGCATTATGAAGCGCTACCCATTTTCCCAGATACCAAATTCCTCTTACACTTTCGTGGGAATTAACATGACATTTTTTTTTTATAAATAAATCACATGTATTCTCCTAAGTGGTAATGATCATGTTTGATCCAGGAACATCCACGTTATGATGAGTCCAACTCACTTTTTTTCTAGATACGAAATATCTCACTCACTGGCCACTACCACTGCGATTAGAGCCGCTGCCAGCAATTAAAATGATGAGTTAATAGGATTATTCTCTACCAACTTTGTCATAACTTGTGATTGCTTGTCTCATCACTGAAATTTTTCAAATGTGGTGGTTGTGTTGAAAAGATATGAGCAAATCTATTCCCATTAATTCTTGAGTTTTTGTGACTGATCCCTTTAATAGCTTTTATGATTAAAAAATAAAAAAGATATTACATACATTTTAGGCAAAAAAAATTAATTTATTGTTTTTTTAATAAAAAATTATGAATAAGTATTCGTTTTGAAACTAATTACGAAAATATAACAGTCAAACACGCTCCATAAGGGCGTGACCAGTTGGAGAGAGACACGCCCAATATTGGGCGTGACCTAAGCGTGACTCACGCCTACATGGGGCGTGACCAAGTTGGAGAGAGACACGCCCAGGCATGACCGAGGAGAGAGACACGCCCAATGTTGGGCGTGTTTCACCAGGTGCTGCCACGTGTCACAAAAGTCAATAATTTGACCGTAAAACTTTGGAAGTCCATAACTTTTGACTCGGGTATCCGAATTAGGTAATTTTTTTTTGATTCCACATAACTTTTCGAGATCTACGTAATGACACCTAATTTGACCTATTTTGTCTTTCACAAAAAAATTTGAATTTACAACAATGATACCATAATTATTAAAAATGTCATGAATTTGTTACCTTATAACTATTACTAAAAATAATCTAAACATTTTTATAATCATGAACAAAAACTTGAAAATCAAAATAAAACGAAAAGCACTCACTTAACTTTTTAATATAAATTATTCGATATTCTGTCACCGACAGATGTTAACTTTTATTAATTATAAATTTCATAAAATTCTTCATTCAAAATTTTAATATATATCTCAATAACATACATAATTAACCTTATCATAACTTACCATAATCATAAAGATCTTTATTATGAATGTTTCTAATCATAACAGTGGTTTTCTGTCCATTAATTTTTTTTTTAAAACGTTCTTATGGTATCATTATTGTAAATTTAATTTTTTTTGTGAGAGACAAAATATGCCAAATGAGGTGTCATTATGTAGATCTCGAAAAGTTATGTGGATTCAAAAAAAAATTACCTAATTCGGATACCCGAGTCAAAAGTTATGGACTTCCAAAGTTTTACGGTCAAACTGTTAGCTTTTGTGCCACGTGGCAGCACATGGTGAAACACGCCCAACATTGGGCGTGTCTCTCTCCTCGGTCACGCCCAATATTAGGCGTGTCTCTCTCCAACTGGTCACGCCCTTATGGGGCGTGTTTGACTGCTATATTTTCGTAATTAATTTCAAAACGACTACTTATTTGTAATTTTGTATTAAAAAAACAATAAATTAATTTTTTTGCCTACATTTTATGCTATAGAGATATTAAATGCATTTTTTTTATTTTATATTTTTCTTGTTAAATGTTTATTAAAATATGTTTTAAGTTGATGTAACAAATCTTTAGCAAGTTGGCCAACAGTTTAGCGCAACCCATGTGCAGTAATAAATGACTAATAATTGTCCATTTGTTAAATTGCTACTATTACAGATATTTCCTGGCCATCCCATCTCTTTACTGCAACTCATCCATGGAAGCGTTTCATTGTGTTCAACTCCGAGCATTTTGACATGTTAAGAGTTTGCATTTTCCATGTCAATTAAGAACATTGAAGTATGTACCCAAAAAAAAAAAGAACATTGACGTTCTAATAAAATTAATACAACTGATTTTTTTTTGTGAGATTAGTATAACTGATTTAAACTAAATAAAATATATTTATGATGGAGATTTTCATGAAACCTGCTGTCACTAGAACATGATAAAATTTCTTATGATTAACTAGTTAGGTGAGTGCAGCCAAATCTGTTGTTTTTGCTTTTATCTAGGGTAAGATGGAGATCATGAAATGATAATTAAGTTGAATCAATTACACGATTCATCTCTCATGAACACATTAAAGTCATTGAAACATAGCTTTAAAAATGCTGTAACACCAGCAATATAGTGCCTTTATTTCATTAGTACGAGGAAAACAAGAATCCTAACTTTCATATCCTTTTTCAGTTTTCATACGATATGTAATATGCCCTTAATTATAAGCAAAAGAAAATTGAAATCTCCACGATTGGCATGATAATTGACCTATATGGGAATCAAGTGTGTTATGTGAAGCGAGCATATGCTAAGTAATGTCGTTGATCAACTATATTATTTTTTCTAATACTATGTTAACTGAATTATTTAGGCTTGTACCACTTACTAAGACTAGTTTAAAACACAGAGAGATCCAATAGAAATGAGTTAATGGTGAAAGATTTAAATAGTGACACCCTTTAGGGTTATGGTTTAAACAATTTAAACCAAAATGGACCGCATTTAAACAATTGACAGAACAATCAAACCAACCAACATCGCATCAGCTCGAGAGCCAAAATGTGCAGCCCGTGAATTTATTTATTTTTTTCTCTTGTTTTCAAGCGTGCTTCACATAACGTGGAACAAAACGGGTAGTCAATGAAACCTTTTTACACTTTCATTTAAAATTAAAGTGCCCTCTTTTTAGGAGAGGCATGATATAAAAACTTTCAAATTCAATTTTAATTACGTAGACTAACAACTACAAA